GTGATTAATTGGAATGTATTAGAAAGTGTGAGACCTGGGCATAACATAGATGGTATGGAATAAGGGGTGGATACTGTCCCGGTTTTGGCTGGGATAGAGTTAATTTTCTTCCTAGTAGCTGGTATAGTGCTGTGTTTTGGATTTAGCATGAAAATAATGTTGATAACACACTGATGTTTTAGTTGTTGCTAAGTAGTGCTTATACTAAGTCAAGGACTTTTCAGCTTCTCATGCTCTACCAGGTGCACAAGAAGCTGGGAGGAACATAGTCAGGACAGCTGACCCAAACTGACCAGAGGGGTATTCCATATCATACGAAATCATGCTCAGTACATAAACTAGGCAGACTTGGCCGGGGGGCAGTGATCGCTGCGGGGTCGGGCTGGGCATTGGTCAGTGAGTGGTGAGCAGTTGCGTTGTGCATCACTTGTTTTGTATATTCTTTTATCATTATTATTGTTTTCTCTTCCTTTGCTGTCCTATTAAACTGTCTTTATCTCGTATTCCATATCATACGAAATCATGCTCAGTACATAAACTAGGCAGACTTGGCCGGGGGGCAGTGATCGCTGCGGGGTCGGGCTGGGCATTGGTCAGTGAGTGGTGAGCAGTTGCGTTGTGCATCACTTGTTTTGTATATTCTTTTATCATTATTATTGTTTTCTCTTCCTTTGCTGTCCTATTAAACTGTCTTTATCTCAGCCCAAGGGTTTAACTTTTGTTTTTTCCCTGATTCTCTCCCCCCATCCCACTGGGGTGGGGAGGGGAGGGTGAGCGAGTGGCTGTGTGGTGCTTAGTTGCTGACTGGGGTTAAACCACGACACTTTATTACATGATAGCATGTTGTGCTGTAACTCCTGACTCCCTACCCCCAAATTTCTCGCATCATGCAATGCGTGGGGCAGAGAGTAACCATGGAGTTAGCATCTGTTCGATGATTCATTTCTGTATAGTTGGTTGTGTGGTCTGTGGTCCTACTACTGTTATTCAAAGCTTACCGTGAAAGCAGAGTTACTAATTTTAATGGGTTTTCCTGTGGCATCATGCCCATACTCTCTAAAGTTTTTGGTCCCTGTTGCATGCACTTAGGATTGCCTGAAGACTTCATGCTTCCCAAGAACCAGCAGAGCACTAGTGACAGCCCCAGAACTACAGATTTCTTGCTTCCAGTTACAGGCCTATCCCACACCTGACACTGGAGCAGCCATTGCATTTGGATATTATCCAGTAGTCCTCATCTGTAGCATGTGTCTTTATGCAGGGACTGCGGTTGCAGGGCTGTCAAAGTGCATAGGATGGAGCGGACGGACTGGTCAGCCTGAGGCACATACTGGGGTAGTAGATCCCTGGGCCATAGGAATTGGCAGTGATCATAAAGTAGTAATCTAGTTGTAGTGTAGGCTTAATCTCTGCAGTTTGAAATAATTTTCATACTGGGAACACAGGTCTGAATGTTACAACATGGCCGACATCTTGTGTAAATTGGAACAGCACTGAATTTTGTAGATTATTTCACAAAGACATTTCTAATGTGGTTTGCTGTAGAAATGCAGAAGGAAAAATTCAAGCTGACTTTCATGCATTTAAGTTTGTCTGCTGCATATGCATAACCCTTTCCTTAGTTAAAAGAGAAGCGTTGTTGTATTGGGAGCTAAATTTAGGACATATTTGAAGTAAATGTAACCTTTTCAAACGTGGGTTGAGTTTTAAAGAAACAACTTCTCAAATACACAATTACTTGTCTCTCAGTAAAAACATTTGCACGCTAATTCTGGTTTGTGTATCCACAGAGTTACACACAGTGTACGAAAAGGGGTGAAGTTAATCTTTTATCAATTTGAATTTAAATCATTAAAAACCAAAAATCTAAAAGCCATGCAGATTATCGTGTTCTGTGAACAATAGAGATGGTGCAGATTGATTTCCTAAAATCCCAGTGATTGGTGACCTGTGAGAGAGGAGCTTTTCTGGCAGTAGGGATATTTAAGAAATTCTCTCCCTTATATGGTTTCACTGTTAAGTCTCTTCTCAGGAGAGTGCCTGTAGGATACTTTTGTTCTATTTGGATGCCTGTTTTTTGTAGGAACTAAGGCTGGCACCCATTATCTGGTTCTCTCATGCTATGATTGGAAAACAGGCCTTGAAAGAGGGGCTGTACAGCAGCTCCTGGGTTTCCTTCAGGTTTTCAGTTTTAAACATCATTTAGATGCTAAGAATGATCAGACTGGCATGAAATGAGCAGACATTAAGGGAAACAGACTGATGAAATGCAGAGATGCTTTCAAGTTTGTCTTACAGCAATCTGGGTGTAGTTTGATGCTGATGGTGGATAAGGGAGGAGAGGAGGCAGAAGTATGGTCAAAGAGCAGCATTTCAATTGCTAGCAAATCCTAGATGATCTTTTCAGTGTGTGTGATTCAACAGGTGAGATGTAGTGAATCCTGCTGCTATAGTTTAAGGCATTACTGCCTTAAACCTCTTTCCTTGGTAGGATGGCATGTGTGCTCATACCTCTGTTCATTTTGGTCTGGCAGGTTAGCCTGAACTGCCCCAAAATGTTGATCCTTGCAGCTAGGCTGTGAAGGAGGAGCAGAAATCCAGATGAATGTTAGGATCTTTTGCAGCTCTGTGTTTCTTGAATGTGGGTCATACCCCTTTGATAAAGAGAGGCTTTTTACATCTGATTCCTTGTAAACCACAACATTTGATAACTGAGCTGTAAATCTAGGGGTTACAGGTAGCAGTGTTGGTTTCTGCAGAAATGCAGATGATCAACAGGCAGTGCAGAACATAAAGATGCATTTAGCAGAGTCACAGGCCAGCTAGCAAAGTTTTCCATCCTTTGCTAACAATGACAGACCGTGATGGTCCAGCGCTTTGTACTAGTGGTTGGATGAAGCAGGTTGTGTGAAGCTGTAGAGGAGTTAGCTGTAAAGTTAGTTAATTTGTCTAGTGTATGGAAGGCAAAACAGCTTTGTTTTCCAGTCTTGCTCAGTAGGTCTTTCCTACTATGTTTCCAAAACAAATGTTTCCATATTTAATTCATAGTCTGTTGAGTCAGCGCTGGTCTTATAGCCTATATGTATTTCAGTAGGAAACTTTTCCTATTTGAATTGCTTTGAGGGCTTTGTTGTCTTCACATATTTAGTCTTTGGAGAAATAACTTATCTCATTGGTTCTTCTGATCACCAGTCACGGAAGATTAAAACCTGTTTAGCTTTCCAAAGAGAAATCACTGCATTGCTTAATACCATTGTAGTGAATCTTTTGAAAAGTTTGTCTCCTCTCTGATATACTTGCAAAAGAAAATTTGTTGTGTTTTTCCAGGAAATGGAAGGACTGAGATTTTCAGGAGTCTAGGCTAGAGTTTACTACTCAGATCCATTTTATATCTTTGAAGATCAGCCCTTAAGTGCATAGCTTGTGTGAGGTGATGCTTTTCTTATTTGAACTGACCTATCACTTTCTTTTTCAGAGCCCTCTTGATAGAGCCCAAGCAGCCAAGAACAAAGGAAACAAATATTTTAAAGCAGGAAAATATGAGCAAGCTATTCAGTGTTATACTGAGGCTATCAGCCTGTGCCCTCCTGAGAAAAACCTTGATCTTTCTACCTTCTATCAAAATAGAGCTGCTGCCTATGAACAACTGGTAAGAAATTAAAGATAATTGTATGTTTATTCTAAAAAGTTGCGTTATAAATTGTGTATTTTGTCACTTTTGTCCACTGAAAGATCCCAGGTGGTGATATCTGCTGCCTTCACAACAAGATGCCATTCCTTGCAGCTATTTTTCACTAGCTCATCGTAACTTTTCCACATGTAAATAAAATTATTTTCTGTTAACTATTCTCAGTCTATCTTACGTAATTCTTATGTGTCCCTTTCTTGTTAGACAAGGTTTTAATTTCTTATCCTCTGGAACAATTTTCTTGTATATAAGTTAATTTTGCTTCTCTCTATTAGAGCGTTTCTTTAACTTGGGTGAAAAGGCCAAAAGTTGGGTGAAAGGCCAAATATTTTGGAAGGATGCTACTTCAAAAATTAACCAAAATCCACAGAAATCCTGCTAAAGCTCAAGCCCTAAATTTTGCACACATGGTAGTAACATTTACTTGATAGCTGAGTATACTTGATACTAGTTTTAGAAGTCAACCGGTGGTGTTTATTATGGTATCAATAGATGTCCTTTATCAATTTATTCATCAATAGGTCAAGTTGGTGAGCTGTATAAAGGAGTGGAAAATTGGCTTTGTACAGTCTGAAGTATCAAGTGAGAGACTGTGTGATTAGAGAAACCTAGTCTTGAAAGTTAGAGGAGAGATAAAACAGTTTTTGTCTAATCAAATACTACTTATAACACTAATTCATGCCATAACAAATCCCAAATGTATGTGGTTCCTCTTTTTCAGTTATTAGAAAAGCCTGTTTCAGTAATCAATTTTGCAGATAAATGGATTTTTAGTTCTTAATACCCTTGACCAGCTCTACTCCTACATATTCATTTATCATCCCTTTGTAGTAACATAGCATAGTAAGTTGAAATAACAGATTTTTTTTTTAAAAAGTGTTTTAGCACTTTGTTCAACTTGTTTGTTGGTTTTCATTATGTTTTCATCTTTTTTCTTCTCCAGTCTTTCAGTCCCAATGTTACCTCCTGCAAGCATCTTCGCATAAACTCATCATCTTCTCCCATACGCTTCGTACAAATGTCTGGTTTCGTTTTTCTGTAGGAATTCCTTTTCTGTTTTGTGGCTCTTCTGGTGCAGGTGGCTTCCAGTGGTGCCTGGCAGTTTCTTACTGAGAAACTTGCAGAAATAGAAGCAACCAGGTAGAACCAGAGCCCTGGGAACTGCAGCTACTGTTAGGTGGGCATGACCCTGGAGTTGGTAGTGGAAAGCTAATATAATGCAGCTGAGTAGGGCATCTCTCATTGTGTTGTTTTCTACCCACAGCAAAAATGGACAGAAGTGGCACAAGACTGCACAAAGGCTGTTGAGCTTAATCCTAAATATGTAAAAGCTCTCTTCAGGCGCGCAAAAGCTCATGAGAAGCTAGACAATAAGAAGGAATGTTTAGAAGGTGAGTGTCTCTTGATGTGTATACTTAAAAGTGGAATTAGCTCAGGTGCTTTGGAGAGGATAACTTCTGGGATTGTTTTGTTTTTACTTCTGTAACTACAGTAATACAGAATTATTTATTTAAAACCATTCATAGCTACTGCAAATAGATTTTCTTGTAAAAAGAAACCTTTTCCCGTTTTTCAAGCTGTCATCCCCTCAGATCTGAAATAGCTGCTGAGAAATTGATGTTACTGCAGCCGCTCAAGTTATTCTTTTTCCAGGAAACTCCCTACATTTTAGAACAGAATTCATGTAACATGCTGAATGGATAACGCAGACAAGAGTCGTTCTACTTCCATACAGTAACAAACTTTCTTCCCTGTTTGTTTTAGAGAAATGGTACTACTACAGAAACCAAGGTGGTTTTGCAGGTGGAGATACATAGTCAGAAATAAGAGTATTACAGTCATTTAAATGCATTTGGCAGGCATTAAAGGGAAAACAGCTTCAGTAGCATTTCGTTTCTGTTGTGAAAATTGGAACAGATTTTTTAAAAAATCGTTTTTTATTATTAACGCTGTGTATTTGGCAGAAACTACTGGGTCAAATCCTTCAAAATACTATTCCTAACAGAATACATTTTGAACTGTCAGGAAAATGTGACTGAGAAGCCATGAAAATTAAGGAGTACTATGGGTCAGGTGTGCTGTTTGCACTTTTGAACTAAGGGACACTGTTTGAAAGGATCCATTTAAATTTCATCAGGTGAAATCATTCCTGATGATGTAAGATTAAAAGGCAAATGAAACTTTCAGCTGTGCTCATTATCAAAGAAGGACAGAAAATAAGGCAGTGCTCTGACTGGCAAATTTAACTGTTAAATTAGTTTCATTATGTATAACAGCTAAGAATTAGGTCTACTAAATTAGAAGCTAAATAAGATGTGGAAATTTTATTTATCTATCTATTTATTTATCTGCTGGCAGAATGCCTTTCTGCCCTGTGAGACCATAATGACTAGAAAAGGACTACTTAAGTCATTTAGTGTAGTCCTTTGCAATCACTAATTGACCAACAGCTGCACTTCCAGAGATAAAATCTAAACCTTATGTAGTTGTGATAAACTGACAGGTGATAAAAGCCCCAAGAAAGATCAAGTGTCCCTGCCATAGTAGGATAGCTTTTAAATGTAACTCCTTTTTAATGTTAGTAGCAGTAATGTTTGTAGCAATTATTTTCAACCTTGATCTGTGTTTGATTTTTAGCTTGCGGTTTTTTCAGATCTGAAAATTACCTGCTTTTTCTGAACTATGCCGGTTTTCTAATACAATACTGCTTTTACCTGCCAACCACGTATGGCTAGTAAAATCCCAGGAAGTAGGGTATGTCCATGTAGCGGAGGAAAGCAAAACCAAACAAACCCCAAAAAAACCCACCACCACCAGCAAAAAACCCCCTCCAATGATTCCTGGCAGTATAATTTGGGAAGACGTTGCTGCCTCAACCAAGTTCAGGCGCTAGTTTACAGCTGCCTGCTTTGGGCGAAGCGTGTCTGCTAAGGTGGTATAGAACAGTGTTAGTGCACACTATCTTTCACACCTTTTCTGGGTGTAGCATGTTTTCCCAGGGACTCTGATGTGCTTCTTGACCATGCCAGAGTTGTTGGGGAGTTTCTGTATAAATGATGGCATAATAGTATCTGTAGGGTGTAGAATCACAGAAACTATACTTAAACTCCAGAGTAAGACGCTTGCATTTCAAGTGTATTCAAACAAAACACTGTTTGAATTTCAAGTACAAAGTCTGTTTATCTTTACCGATGTTTAAGTGAAAATTAAATAGGAAAAATCAGTGGTAGTATTACATTAAATAGAGGATCCAGAGAAATAATGATAATGTATCATAAGAGCGCATTTCACACTGCGAAGCATGGTTCAGGCAGCAATGGGTTAAAATTTGCTCTATGTGTGAATGAAAGTGATATGATATGGGCTAGCACTTTAAATAGGCCAGCAGGCTATTTCTCTTAAACTTGCTCCATTCCAAAGTCACAGAGGTGAGCAGAAAAATTTGAGATATAATATGGGAAGATTTCTTAAACTGAGGAAGAAGCGAGATGTGATTGGACTGAATGTGAATTTTAAAAGTAGCAAATTAGGACCAGTCCCAGAAGAGAAGCTATGTTAACACTTTTAATGCGAACATAATATGAACGTAATTACTATCCCCAAAGTTTCAAAATAGTGAAAGCCCCTGCTGGAGGTATACATTTTCACTGTTCATCTAAGTGTGTTTGTCTCTAGATAAAAACATGAAGATACATTTATTTTTATAAATGTAATTTCTTTCATTCACTGTCATGAAGTCCTTTTATCACAAGGAGATCATTTTGGATACAAATTTGTGTCTTGGAAAACATGGTAAATACAGCAAGCTGGAAAGAGAGGCTTTTACCCTTGAAGAGGACGTTTATTAGTTTGACAGTGACTTGTAATAGTGACACATTTTAGTGCACTCCAGCGACTATCAGAATTTGTCTTTAATCTCACTTTTGTATGTTGTTTCCTAGATGTCACTGCAGTCTGCATTTTAGAAGCCTTCCAAAACCAGCAAAGTATGTTATTAGCTGATAAAGTTCTTAAACTTCTTGGAAAAGAAAAGGCCAAAGAGAAATACAAGGTAGGACTTGTGATATTGCTGACAAATTCTGATTTCACCTGACTGGTTGTTGAAATGTTGATTGTTAGCATTCTGGCAATTGTTGTAAGCCAGTCACTGTCTTCATCTGCTGAAGTGTAAGAATCGACATGAACCGTTTTGTACAAAGCTGCTATTGTATCGATGTTTTCCTCTGGGACCTGTACAAACTTTTTGAAACCTCAGTAGGGAAGACAGGCTTATTTCTAACAATTGTTTCCCTTTAATAATCAAATTTATTGTGACATTCAGGAGACACCTAAGTTGGTGTGCTGCCTTACATGGGGCTTTTCTGGACTTGCAACGTAATGGAAACAGGGTATGTTGGAACAGCAGTAGCCAAATGTTCAGTTGCACATCAGGTGGTTGAGTTAGGTATGTGTGTTGAGATAGGAAGGTTTATAAATAATAATTGAAAATGTGTAAATATGTTGGTTCCATATGTAATGAATGGCTTAAAATGAGAAGAATGATGATTGAGGCCTTTTTCCCCAGGTTATTCTTGGTTTTATAAATAGAAATTTCAAGCAGGAAAGATTAAGTTGACAGCAGAATTCCTGCATTTTAGAAAGTGGCAAAATAATACTGTTTTAAGGTTGGGGGTTTTTTTAAATTAAAAAAAAGAAGAAGAAAAGCAAAAAAGCATTGCTTAAGAAAAAATGATGCAGTGTGAAGTCACATCTTTTTATTAGTGGTCAGACTTCCTGATTCTGTCTTGAGAAATTCGCCTTCATCTAACTACCACGATTACTTGTGACACTCAGTTGCAGGCTGTTTCTGTTCCGTTTCTGTTCCATTTCTGTAAATAGGTGCTCATACTTGTACTCTTCTGTTTTGGCACTTAGATGTCTTTGTGTCAATGTTTGGAAACTGCAGAAAAGAGAACTATGGAAGTATAGGGGTAGCCAGGAGCAGTCATTTCAAGTGGCTGTAGGTTTACAAAAAAGTTGGGCCAAGTATTAAAACGTTCTCACTTGTTATTAAAACATTCTTGCTTTGTTTTTTGTGGCGATGGTTGAAGTACAGAAATCCAGATTGGTTTTGAGATGCTGAATTTCTTTCCTATAGAAACTCACATACATGTGTGATGTTGAGGTAACAAAAATGAATTGTGCTGTTAGTGTGGTGGTGGTAGCATCATAAAATAGGTGTGCTTCAAATAGGCAGTATTACAATAGAACTTAATAGAGAAATTCAGAAGAGTGCATTCACACTTTTCTTGCAGGAGAAATTGAGTTGTGATTCTTGTGTGCAGTGTTGATTTTGAGCAAGAAATATTTTTCGGCTGTAGAAAGGATTTTGTACCTCAGAGGTGTTACTTCTGGGACTTCAAGTAAAATGTGTGGTATCTGGGCCAAGCTCCACATAGTATTAGGATATTGCCTCATTAGTCTTCACTGTAACAATAGACAGCAGCTTCTCTTGGACAAATTGGAGAAAAGGGCAAATTGCCATTCAGAATATCCTTGAATTTAGGCTCATGCTTAAACTGCCAGCTTGCATTTTTCACCCAATTTATGTGCACACATACTGCTTTAGTACATCTACCCAATGTCTTTTGATATCCTAAGAATCCTCATTTCTAGCCACACATGCAGAAAGATACTATCTCCCTCCTCTCTTTAATATCTTCACTTTATTTCTACTGGTGATGGGTATTGTGTTGTGATCTGAAGCTTAAATAATCCCTGAATGTCAAACTGTCAAATCAAAAATATCAGACTATCAAATGAGATAGCAGAAAGTCATACATTGGTTCTTTCATGAATGAATTTTTTTATAGTCACATTTGTTTATCCATTTCCATATTTACCATCTGATCTTACCGTCTAATTACTTGAAATTACATTTCTCTGTTTCAGAATCGTGAGCCTCTGATGCCCTCACCACAGTTCATTAAATCCTACTTCAGTTCTTTCACAGATGATATAATCTCCCAACCTTTGCTTAAGGGTGAGAAATCAGATGAAGATAAGGATAAGGAGGGAGAGGCTTCTGAAGTAAAAGAAAAGTGAGTGTACAGTACAGTTGGGTATTGTTTGGTATTGGAATCTAGTTTTCAGTGATTCTGACATTCTGCTGAGTGTAACTTGCTGTTGTTTTTATAGTACTTGGCATGGGAAATCCTGTGGTAAATGAAATGAGATCACTATTAAAAACGAAACTTTTATGAAAGCTGACTGGCTAGTTCCAAACTGTAGGTGGCTTTGATCCACTAAACAGAGGAAGGACAATGAGATTGGGAAGATATGCTGAATATTTACTACAGTATCATAGTAAATCTTAGGAGATGGGAGGACTGGAGAGTGCTGAATGATGCTTCTGGAGAAAGGAATATTTTATACTGAAGGAGAGTTTTCAAGGAAGAGAGCAAATTAGTCTTTGGATTGTAAAGGAGAAGACAAGCTAGGAAAAGGGTCTTTGTTAATGCAAACTATGAATTTACAGCAACTGAGGCTGAAAGGGTGTTTTATCTTTCTGGAATCAAATCGCACATAAATGAGAGGTTTGTTCTGACAAAGAAAAGCTTGAGCTTTTTCTTTTTTTTGAGTGGAGCTTGAGCACTACATGAACGGTGCTTTAACTTACTATGCTGCTTTCCAGTTTATTTTTGGAAGATATCAGTGCTGTCATTATGGAAACCATTGCAAACAGCGTTAGGAATTTTTTTTTTTTAAAGTAAGATAGAATGTCCTGATCTATGGACAGATTCACTGAATCCAGGACACTTAGCTGAGGACAAAGCAGTGCGTACTGTAATTTTTGCTGTGAAATCCTTTCTTCCACGTATAAACTGCATATTGCTAGGTTTAATATTTTACTTTTCTGACCTGGAATTCCATCCCAGCCCTCTTGTTTTAAGGCAGAGATTATCGCTGTCCTTAATGTGAAAAAAAAATTTCAAGAGACAAATGAAGCTCAAGTTCAAGAGCTTTAAAACATTTTTCTTCTTTATTTCCAATGTAATTTGGCCATTCTTTGTCTAAATTGTTTTCAGTCTGTGATGGCTCTGTCCAGGAATATTTGTAACTTTACTTATTATGCTGGTGTTGTAATTGAGTATAGCAAAAGTTAGTATTTGTTATGATTTAATGAAAAATCTGAATTGAAATTGCAGTGTTCAGTGAATGTATATATACAACTGTTCCTACATCATTTACAGCTCTGGCTATTTGAGAGCAAAACAATATATGGAAGAAGAGAACTATGACAAAATTATCAGTGAAAGCACAAAAGAAATTGAAGCAAAGGGAAAATACATGGCCGAAGCTTTGCTTCTGCGAGCTACTTTCTACTTACTTATTGGCAATGCAAATGCTGCCAAACCAGACCTAGATCAGGTCATCAGCATGGAAGATGCAAATGTGAAGGTAAGAATCTGTCACAGCTGGATTGTAGTTTGGGTTGAGAAAATGTAGAAGTTAGATGATAAACTTGCAGTGTAGTTCAAGAAATTGTTTTTCCAAGTTTTCAGATACTTTAATGGGAGCGTTCTGGTTTATTTACTGTTCTATCTTCTTATTCCTGACAAACTGTTTTTTCAAAGGCTTGTTGATTTTTGAGACAGCTATGCTAAGTAGTACAAACTAAAGAACAGAGGAAGTTTAATGAATTGGAGGCTTATCCAGTCTGAAAAATCAGTCCATAGATAAGAGAAAAACATTAATTGGACTTGCATATTGAACTGCTTCAAAAAATGCTGATGTATTTGTAAGCGTAGGGAACCTGTCTTATAAAGGATTTTTGGGGGGTTGGAAATCCACTGAGATGGAAGCATAGGCTGACATATTTGAAATTAAGCAAGGGAGTTGATTCATTTAGAGTCAATATAAAGTTTATTCCTGCTTAGAATGAATGAAATCTGTCAGTGGAAGAAACCAGTCAAATGAAAAATTTACTGTAATTGTAACAAAGCCTTAAATCTGGAGGAATGTTGGAGTGGCTGATGCTTCTTTGAACTTTTTTTACAGCTCCGAGCTAATGCTTTGATCAAACGAGGAAGTATGTATATGCAGCAGCAGCAACCTGTGCTGTCCACTCAAGACTTTAACATGGCTGCTGATATTGATCCTCAGAATGCAGATGTTTACCACCATCGAGGACAAGTAAGAAACATTAGAGATTTTGTCCCAATACTTGAATATTTCAGTATATACTAAAAGAAAAATAAAGATCAGTACGTCATCAGAGATACTTTATACTGTTTGTGGCAGAAAAACATGAACTCCTAATTTGGAACTGTTGTGGAATAAACACGCAGTCTAATTTGCAGGTTTGGGTCAGGCAGAAGCAGTTTATTTCTGTAGCTATAGGAAAGAACACAGAGCGACAGAGGTTCAGCCCTCTATCAATATGAACTCTGACTTAAAAGTACTAGGGCTTATATACATTTACAGCAGATATAAACTGCTCTGTGAAGGGGCCTGATATGGCAGAGCAGCATCTGCATAGAAGGAAGCTTTGTTACAGCGGATGTAACGTGTGTTCCTGATAACTCAGCATCTGCAGCACTGTGGCCTAGACTTGCATCTGTTCAGCTCATCCCTTTCTGGCTTGTGACGCTGCTGTGTCCTTGACTAATTTCTAGACCTAAGGAGGCCTGCTTCCACAGAATTGTAATATAAAAGGTGCTGGAAGAAGAAAGGAAACACTACCATGTGCAGATATGCTAAGTCATATTCGTAAGGAAGACTTCCACGGATCAAGTGCCTCTCTCCATGAATTCCGTTAGATCTCTGTAGTGCTCAGAAATAAGAATGGTGTTATGTATTGATTGAAGGGAATGAAAGTTTTCTGCAGATTGAAAATTAGTATTTGACAGTAGCTTCACAGTAAAGTAAGAGAATGATGAAGTGAGCTCCACTTTTGTGGAGGAATGAGACTGTAAAAAAAAAAAAAAAAAAAAAAAGAAAAGTTGAAATGCAAGCTGGCAAAGCCAAAATGTTTCGACATCCAAATAGTCCACAGGCATTAACTACAGCGAGGCAAAGTGACTTGAGAAAATACGGCATAGTTTTGGAGACTGGACATAATGCTAAAGCAGTAATGGCAACAGTCTAACATACAAGCATTCTCAATCCCTACACATGGACATTGCCTTTTTGTGTATGAAGCCAAAGTTTCGCTGGTGGCTTTGTTATTTTATGGCAGTGATTTTTAGTTATGGGTTTTGTAGGTTTCTAGGCAGTTCTAAAACTGACCTGGAGATGATACGAGTAACTGACGCTAATTGAATTATCACTTAAGTGTCTGAAGCACAGATTAAATACAGAAATAGGATTTTCTTTCATTCTGGCTAGCTGAAAATCCTGCTTGACCAAATTGAAGAGGCTGTGGAAGACTTTGATGAATGTATCCGATTGCGACCTGATTCTGCCTTGGCTCAAGCACAGAAATGTTTTGCTCTGGTAGGTAACATGCTGGTGTGCTTTTTCTTTTTAAAGAGTTCTGGAAAACATATTGTGTTTCTCTGTTTTAATCCAATTTAATGGAAAAGTAGGGCAACAAACATCTCTATCTTTTTAATAATAAGGTAAAGAAATAATGCAACAGTTTCTTCAGTTGGAGTAAGGTGTTCATTGTTCAAACAGTAGGTCATCTTTTCTGTTTTGTGGTAGAGGAACACAAATCTTCACTCTAATTGTATCACATAAAATTGATTTAAGTAAAGCTTTAATGTTGTAGAAAATGGTCATCTTCAAGAAATTGGAAACAAACTATTTCAAGCTAGTACAATGCCTCTGCATGCAGGAATCTTTTGAGGACAGCTTTGCATGGTGTGAACAAGGAAGAATTCTAGGCTTGGAATTTCTAGGCTTTTGAAATAGAGGGAGGCTATTGGCAACTATCAGGCCTTATGGCTTCCTTCTTTCACTCTTTCTCCTCTCCAAGTCCACTCTACAGAGACTTGGACACATGGTAGGTTCCTAAAAACAGATTTGGTAGGATGTACAGACACGTCACCTTCTGGAACTTGTAATTGTTATGATGCATCCATCTCTTGGGGAAGTGGGTAGAGGTCTGATGAGCCTTTTTTTTTTTTGTGGTGTTGTTTCATTTTTTTCCTTTTTTTTTTCCTTTTTCTTTCTTGAATAGTATCGCCAAGCTTATACAGGAAATAATCCTTTGCCTGTGCAAGTAGCCATGAAAGGCTTTGAAGATGTCATTAAAAAATTTCCAAAGTGTGCTGAAGGCTATGCGCTCTATGCTCAGGTACATTTTTCTCTCTCTTAAGGAAAATGCTGCATTCTCTTGCACCTTTTATTTTGGATAACATACATTTCTTCAAATAATATATGAAGATTTTTGAGAATAAGTTCTGAGATAACACATGCTGTCTTTAATAAGCTACCTGAATTTGTTGGTATGGGTGTTCTGGGGTAGAGGAAGTAGAAGGGGAATTGGTGGAGCAGAATATAAGTGATGAGAGTCAACGGTGGTTATTAGGAGACAGAGATCTGGCATACACTTCCCCTTGAATTCCTGCATGTGTGTGGCATCTTACTTGATGGATGTCAGGGATTCTGTAGGTAATTTGGGAGTTAAATGTGTGGGACTAGGGTAACAGTTCCATTCTGCTATAAATTACATGTACTGGTCAAACAGAATTTAGTACAGATGTTCAGAGTACACTTGTAACAGAGACTGTAATTTCTTCTCTAAGAAAACCTACTTCTGGTTCTAGTATGAAGCATGAGATGTTCTGATTTTAAGTAGGTAGGCAATATGGATGCATTTCTTTTGAAAGAAGTATATTTGAAAAAGGAAGAAGTTGAGACTTGCAGGTACAGACTTTTAGAATGGTTTTTACTTGCAGTAAAAAAACTTACTTAGCATGTTGCTTGTGAATCTCCCATTACAGATCGTACTGTGGTCAGTAATTTGTGCACTTAAAGCCTAGCAGCTTTCTTCTAAAAAGCCTCAATTTTGAAACTTAACTGTGGTAACTGATGTGCCTGGCCTGCTCTGTGATAAGAGAGCTATATCCAATCTCACATCGTCAATATGGTTTTAATTAGAATTAGCCTAGCACAGAGTGCATGTTTTGGTTGCGTATTGACATATAGGTTTCTTTTTTGATGCAGGCACTAACTGATCAACAGCAGTTTGGCAAGGCTGATGAAATGTATGATAAATGCATTGACCTTGAGCCAGACAATGCCACTACATATGTTCATAAAGGGTATGTATTGAGTTCGCGATCCTTTTGGTCAAGGGCAGTTGGGATATTTAGATGAATCAACCTGAATTGAATGTTTGTGTTTAGAAGTTTAGCCAGGAGAAATAACTTTGTGAAAACATCTTAATGCTGTTAAATGTATTTATACAGTTTCTCTTGACTAAACTGTAAATATGTTTCAGGAAAGTTTCATTAGTGTTCATTCCTAATTGAGTATCTACTTGAAGTAATCTGACTTTTACTTTAGCACTATCTTAATTTCAACTTTGTGCTGAAGTTTTCTCTTTCGTAAAACAACTTATAACAAATCTTCTTGGGAGGAATTTACCCTTCTTTAGAGTCATTAAACTGGTAACATGGCTTATTGAAAGTGACTCTCACATACATGGTTTTAAAAGTCATGAAGTTACTGTCTACCCTGCATTAGGATTTAAACAGATTTGGGATTTTTTTTTTTTTTTTTTTTTTTTTGCTGCTTATGTGATCAGGATTTTGGGAGGAGTATGTGAAGTTTGTTCTAAATTTTCTTTCTCTTCTAGTTTACTTCAGCTCCAGTGGAAGCAAGATTTAGACAAAGGATTAGAACTCATAAGCAAGGCCATTGAAATTGATAACAAATGTGATTTTGCATATGAAACCATGGGAACGATTGAAGTGCAAAGGTAATGTTGAATTGCAGTGTTGAGAGTTCTTAGTTACTTTTGAAATTACAGTAGTCCTTTTGATTTCCTTATGGATCTTCAGTCTTTCTTAAGGTCTTCTCCCCCGTGCTGTGCAAGGCTAGCTCTTACCCAAAGTCCTGATTTCTGTTCTGTAACTCTTAGGTAAAGCCTTCCTTTCTCTATGGCATAATTCTGCTTTATGATCTGACAAGTTCCCGTGTTCACCAATTTCATACTTACTGGACAACATGCAGATGAGTCTGCGTATGTTTAAATACATCCCTTCTGCATTTAAAGTGACTTCCTTAATCATTACTAGGCTTCCTGTGTATCTAATGTAGTCCTTAAACATATCTTAGTGGACCATTTGTACTGAGAATCCTGAGCTATACTCTCAAGCCTGATGATTTGGGTTTAATTCCAACAGGACTGCAGTTCGCAAGTTCACAGGGCAAAGAGGAAAGACTAATGCACTATTCTGTAACAGTGTATTGTATTACAATTGTGCAAAAGTTTGGGGTGTAGCTGAGAGTGTAGTTGAGTCCTTTTTTTACATGTCTAGCCATCAAAAGGACAGACAATAAAACTGTTGCCATGAGAAATTTTGCAAGCATTTCCTATTTAAATAATGTGAGCTCTTGTGTGTACTAGTTTTCCTCTTAAGTATACGAACTCTTTTCAAGGGAGATGAGAGTTCATTTAGTTGTCCCAGCATTATCTTCGTAGTAAACTTGGTGTCCTGTGGAGAACATTTTATCCCCCGCTACCACCCGTGGGGGCTTTCAAGAGGAAGGCTGTTTAACAGCTGTCCTAGTTGCTTAGGCTTGGTAACAGCTTCTCTCAGTTTGCTCATCATCATTGCAAGTTCTCGTGGCAGTTCCTCCCGAAGTCCTTTTAAGCTGTTAGTAGAGGAGAGTGCAAGTTCTGAAGGAAAAAAGATGCTGTAGAGATGAAAAGGTTGCTTTGCCAGTCTTAATTGGACTACATTTTGGTTTATTTCAGAGGTAATCTGGATAAAGCCATTGAAATGTTCAACAAAGCTATCAACCTGGCCAAATCTGAAATGGAGATGGCCCACCTCTACTCACTCTGTGATGCTGCCTATGCCCAGACAGAAGTTGCAAAGAAGTATGGATTGAAACCACCAACACTGTAAAGACACGAGGAGGAAATGACCTTCTAAAGTGAAGTTGCCCACTTCAGCCAGCCCTAAAGACGCTGTTGCAGACCATGTTGAATGGTGGAACTTAGTTTTTTCCCGTTCGTGGTGTTGTCATTTGCTGCATCTGTTAAATGTTTAGGTGTTGTGGGAGTGGTTGTTCAAGGAAGTATGCAGTGTTGCATCTTGTTCCTTCTGCAGCAGAAACCTTAAAGCGTGTTAAGGGAATTAAAGTTGCAGGGGAACAAAAGGAAGCTATTTTGGCCATGCAAATAAAAACTTCACACTGGTTCATTTTGGGTGATTATGTTGTGGGCGATTTTTGCTTTATCAAACAATATTACAGCATGTGGGGGTTTTTCCTGTTGATTTTAAAGGTAATACTAGTCAGTGCTGTAAAATAGGTTTCTTTTTTATATGCAATTAATCCTTGAGGGTTGATTTTAATTTTGCAAAAAGGAAAAAATTAATTTTCAAACTGTTTAATAATAGAGGGTTTTTTTAAGTCAGTAGATACAGAGAATCCCTGTAAATATATGCAAGCATGCACAATCTTCCCTTAAAGCCCCTCCCACCCTCTGCATAACTTACTTAGAAATAGTCCTGTGGCAGCTATTAGGGAATTAATTTGATAGTCCTTATCCTCACCCCAGAAAGCCCTAGCGTACTGTATAGGAGAGCTAGTAAAAAGGTTGGTTGGGGAAAGAGGTCAGGTAACACTGCTTCAGTGTAGGTTTTACTGGAAGAAAGGCCATGTTCTTGCGCAGCAGTCCTTACTGGAATGTCACAGGAAATTGTTCTGGAGGGTTCAGAGGGACTTTCAAGAAGAGAAAGCACTGCTGGGAGTAGAGCTGCCAAAGTAAGGTCATGCTTGCATATAATCTTTGTAATCTCTGATGCTCTTGCTTAAATGTAACAGCTAACAGACCATCTAAATTCTCTTCAGTCTCTAGAGACTGCTATGTTCTGATCTGCTCCTTGTAATAGCCCCTTTGCAGGATTAAGTGAGATAAGGAACAAAGCATAGGCTAAAACTTCAAATAATGGATTTAGAATCTGTACTGGTTTCCTTGTTCTTTAGACCCTGTCTTGTTCGAGAGTACAGGTATTGTAGAAAGGAAGCAACTGTTCTGCAAATAGCAGACTGGCAAATTATTAAATACTAGTATAAACCATCTTCCTCTAGCTAGGAACTTCACAGAGGGCTCTCTTGCTTTGGGTTGATCTTTCTGGTATGGAAGTCCATCAGTCCGTCTTGCCTCTCCCTGGATTGATGTGGCTGGATAAACCTCAAGCAAATAGTTAACTGATGTAGCTTAATTTATGACACGCTGATTTGGGCTTCTTTCTATCCTGAAATCATAGATTTGCTTGTGCTGAATTGTCTAATGTATTTCATCTTTTAAAGGAATGAACCATGCTATGGTCAAACTGTCTTGTTCTCTAGTTGTGCCACCATATAGCAGCAGCTTGTATTTTCAACTTGACCTTCCTTTCTCCCAGCAACTACCGTTGAGAGTTCAAATGGTGGAGAGTAAACATAAAGATTTAATCATTCTATTTTAGCTAGCTCAGTAAGTGATCTGAAATCATAGTGTCGGTGTAGAATTGAGGGCGTTGGAAGGTACTGGTACAGCTTCTAAGGGCACTGCGCATAACAAGTGTCAAATGTCTTCTGGAACTTCTGATCTCTGCATCAATTACCTGAGAACAAAAATATGCCAGACTGACTGATGTGTCCTGTTCTCCTGAGGAGTTTTTGTTCGCATGGCCTTACTTACATTGGCATTTTCTCCTCTTCACCCTACCTGTACCCCATTCCTTACCCCACCCAATCAATTAAGGGAAAAAAAGCACGTGCTGTCGAATACTAGCATTCCAAATCATCACAGACTTTTGCCTGTTCTTGAACTAGTTTGGAAACTGCACTGAAAGGATGCATTGTCTGTAATTTTTTTTTTTTTGTAAATGACATATCACCTGTAAACTGAAAAAATAAATATTACCTTCAAGTATCTCTCTCTGACATGTATAAGAACAGGTTTTGATGAAAGCGTTCTCTGCCGTGGTGCTCTCTGTGCTTATTTGAGGTTGCTCTGAATCTAGGAAGAACTAATAATGACTGACTCCCTGTCATCTTCTCTCATTTCAACCTTTAAGAAAAAATGAGGAGACATGGAATTAACAAGTCTTATCTCCGGTTGCTTCCATCACCCACAGAGGTATGATCTTGAGAGCTGAAGATTACAGGGGAAAGGAAATCCAGCCAGGAAAGCTGGGAGTCTGAGTAGCTGACACTCTGTTAATGTGTGTATGCAGGTGCATCCCTTCAGTGATTTTTTTTTTTTTTAAATGACTGATATAGTTGAGGTTATGCTTTAAGCCAGGTGTGCATGTGAACTTTGAGAAAAACTTTCTTTAGTAGGGATTGAGAGCTGAAGTGAAACAAGTATTACTGCTATTTAAAATAATAAATGTTGAAATAACGTAGGAAGCTAATACTGAAGACTTGGGTAAACCTGGTGTGTCCTAGAGACTCTGGCAAGTTGCTTCTACACATAGTTGTCTTGCATCTTAATTCTGATCATGTAAAATCCCTGTTGTTCATGTTAGAGACAAGTTTGCCAAAATGGAGATTAGAAGTTGTGACTTGAATTACTAGGATCTAATTGCAGATTGAAAGTGAAGAGGGAACTAACATATACTAAGGAGCTGTACTGTAACTTATTCTGGAACTATTGAGAGCAGCTTAGATGCAGCTCTAACCAGGCTTCCCAGCTGCAGTGGTAATAACACTGTCTAATACAACAGGCATTACTGTGCTTTCTGCCATTTCTTTAAAAAGAATTTAAATTCTTGCAGGCTGAAATTCTGGAGATATTTCAGGGCTGTTACTGGCTGGTTTTCTATACTTACAGAATACTGGTGCATATGTATATATGGATACTTAAAGTGCCTGTTTTCTACCAACACAGAGAGTGCGTCTTGACTGCTTTAAGTATTATCTAGCTGAGGACTCATTGTGTACTTTTTTCATCAAACCCCCCCAGAAATTCACAGTCCCGTTTGTATCAATTCTGAGTGGATTGCACTGGAGACCCCTAAAACATCCTACTAAAATAAGGGCTTAGAAGTTGTCCTGACAGACTGAAGAGGACTGTGCTCATGTCACTTCTTCAGCTGAGTGCACCAAAGTAGCTTACTACAGGTTTGCATCTGTTCCCTCCATTTGGGATTCGAGGGGAGGAGGGTCCAGGCCACGGGTTCTGTTGTCTGTTGCAGACTGCACTTTGCATTTTTAAAATTAAGTGGTCAGCCCATGAGAATCCTGCACTACTTTAATCCTCTGAAGGTAGTACTTAGTTCCTGCTCTGCTGCATGTTAAACTAGTGTAGGGAGGGGAGGGAAAGACAGATGGAGTAGAGAAATGGATGTATAATAGTTGCTATGATTTAGAAGTTGGAGCCCAGTGATGGCCATCATGGATGCCGATTGTTGAGTATGTGGGAGGCACTAATCTGATGCAGGAGACTTGACTCAAATGGTAAATTGTTAATTTTTTTATATTTATTTTTTAACAAATAAATCTTCATTTCACCTTATGCTCTGTGGCTTGTTTCTTAAGAGTTCTAGTACAGTATGTACAATAAAATGCAGTGAAAAGTACACACCAGAACATGCCTGCTGAAATAGACAATGCCACTGAGTGGAATGGTGTGACCTGTTTTTTGAGGGGAAAGATGCCTCAGGGTTTGGCTTAATTTAACCATTAATTTTCCTCTGCAAAACACACAGCTAGCTCATTCCAGAGAAGCCAAAAGAACATTTAAAAAAAGAAAAAAAAGTCAAGTGAGCAGCTGTGGGAAGAGGAGGATGGCCAAACACAAATAAAAAGGTAAGGTGGTTTTGGGGGAAACTGGTGGTTAGCTAGAGCAAGACAAAACCTTCTCTCCCTCCTCCTGTTTTTGTATTTGGAAATCTCCTTTAGCCTTACTGCTTTATCATTTTTGCTGCTGGAAAACTAAAAGCCTAGGAGGAAAGGCTGGATAGTTATAGTTGCTTCTTTTTTTCATCCCAAGGAGAAAAAAAAAAAAAGCCGTTTGCAAATGCTTATCTTTTTACATTAGAAGTACCAAGGTGTCTTCCTTCTAAGAGAAAAAAAAAAAAACACCAACAAAACTACAACATGCTAGGCTGGTTTTAAGTATTTTAAAGCCATCTGTTAGTCTCTTCAGCAAAAGCAATGAAGGAGTGTTTCCCACGCAGCTGATGGGAGCTGGCCTTTGGTAGCAATAACGCATTTAAACCTCGAGCAATGCTAGTACCTGTCTTCTGGAAGACTGCGGGCAGAAAGGCTTAATCAGCACAACAAGTTTTCTAACCCTTTTGACTGACTCCTCTCAAGCTTTTCAGGTGAAGACTGCCAGGCAGCAGAATTAAAGCCCATTCAGACATTATATTAAGGAAGCAGTATATAGAGCAAAGGTGTGGTGATACGACTTGCTCTAACAAAACAGTAACCTGCATCACTTCAGCAATAAACAGGAATTGCAATAAGGAGAATTTAATACATACATATTCCAGGCAAGACACATGAACCAAAACCTGTTACAGATTCTTCTGTAGTGATAGTTCTGTCTGGCAGCTTCTTGCATTGTCCCCAAGTAGTACAGAGCAGAATTTGGCCTGTTTTGCTTAGTGTGTTAAATTCTAAGCTTTCCAAGTCAGAACTTGGGCATTCAAGGACCTTTGTTAAGGCACATACAACTGAGAAGGACAGAGGTGGAAGAATCATGCTTCTAGATTATCTGATAATTCACTGAAAAATTCGTAACACCAAAGCCAACTTCAGAGGATTTCCAGAGAGAGCAAGGTTCCCATTTTTATGTTTTACAAAAAAGCCCCAAAACATTGCGATGCATAAAAAGCAATGTTAACTACTACTGTGTTGAACTGATTTCACCTCCATCTTTATCCTAGCTGTAAAATACTATAAAATACTGAAGTATGAGAGGAAATATAAAACTTGTATTTGAATCAATTTTAGAATTACACCACCAAGTTGTTTGTTTGTTTGAATTAACTGGCACATTTAGCAGTAGATTGTGGAGCAACTAGTAGGGGAATCCTTGCGAAGATGAAAGCAGCAGCCATTGTGCCAACTGAACCTTCTCTATTCACCCAGCTTCACTTTTTCATCTCTACGCCATAGAGATCGCAACGCTTCTGGCTTAAAATAGGTATTTGTTGACGTATTTCTGCGAGTTTCTTCAGATCTGCAGGGGAGGAAGAGCGAGCTATGAGAACAGCAGTCAAAAAGGAAAGCTCCTGACTTGCGCTGAGGTAAGGCAGGGAAAAGAGCAGCTTCCATGGAGAATGAGTCTGTAGGGCACTGCAACTGGGCAGCCAGGGCTGAAGGAAGCCTCAACTTTGCCCTTTCCTAAGGTGGCAGCTTCATCATAAGTATGGAAGAGTATAGCGAAGTGCTGCTTGTTCTTGCTTGAATCTAGCAAAGGTGGAGAAGGGACAGGAACACTGCATCATCTGTAATTGCGTGTGCAAGCCCACAGACTTAAAAAACTGTCTCTCCTTAGTCTCATGACCTGTACTCAAGAAAGAAATCAGGAAAAAAAAGACTTTATCTTACCTATATCTGTGTATATAACTGTTTCCTCAGCCCCAGCTTTGGCTATGACTTCACCCCTGCAAAATTAAGCACATTTGTTCACAGCATTAACACAGAGGTCTCAAGGCACCAGTCCAGTTGCTGCTGTTTGTACAAAAGGGAGTTCCGACCCTTGATGTCTACAGCTGTAAAGACAGGGCTGTCCTAAAAATAGCATCATAATTCATAACTCTAGCATGACAGAAATGGCTTTCAGGCTTTATATGTGGCACATCTTATATGTGACATAAGTATGTTTCCAAAGATCAAGAATCCTCATAAGAGCAACTGTGAGAACCAGAGCATGTGAGCATGCAGTATACCTCAAGGGGAAAGAAACAACTTCACCAGGGACAGCCATATATGGCAAAGACTAACACTTTCTCCTTTCAGATCCTGCTGGCTTTTAATAGGAGTATACTTTTACTCTGCATGAGCTACTGAACATTATCTATCATGTCTCCCACTAGGTGTTCTGTCACTGCTTTCATCATGTAAAATCAAAAGATGAAGACATAGATAAAGCTGTTCTTACTTTGCAATCATCTGGAAGAGAGCAATCAGTGGATTTATTTTAAAGAAAAATAACTGCCTGAAGATTTGGTCACTTTTACCTCCTGTGCACCTGCGCTGCTTCTGCTTAAGTCAGAATATGTCTCTTATCTAGCTGAAGACATTCATCTTGTTCTTCCTTATGTCAAAGCAGTGTGGTTCTTTGAGGAAATTAAATAGTTTTGTGTAAGCTGTTTAAAATGGTTCAGTTCTGCACAGAAAATTACCATAATGCATAGGACATCATGGACTGAACTTCAGCGACAAGTTGAAAAGGTCAGCAGCTTAACTAATGCTAAATACTAGTACTAAGTAGCTTCTTTGCTACCAAAAAGAATACATACTGTTAAACCAGTTTTAGTTTCTTTCTTGTTTTTCAGTCAGACAGTTTTAAAGGATGATTTTGAGAACGTAGGCTTAAGCGTCAGGTGCTTTTTACCAAGAACTTATGACATTTTTAAGAGTAGATGGAAATGTGGAACTGAAATGTGACTGTCAAGTAAAACATTTTTTAAGCAAGAAAAGGTGGGTTTGTTTTTTTTTCTGAACTCACCATGGATTTACTACAGTGCTGTGTCCCCAGGCAACATAGGATGCTTTTTCATCTCTAGCAGGAGATACGGTAGCTACGTAGACTTGATTATCAACAGCTCTGTGTTCACAGAAAGATGAGGGAAGTGGGGGGGAAGTGAGTAGATTTTTTTTTTTTTAATACCACCAATTAACTAAGCAGAAGAGAAAGAATTCACTCTGAAGGGCAAGCTATATATCCTCCTAAGGACTAGCCAAAATTGTAAATGATACAAAGGTCAGAGAAAGCAGAACCTGGAAAGAGAAGTCTCTAGCACCTGCTCCAGAGTTAGCGTGTAGAATGAATTACGCGTTCATTCAGTATGCAGCAAAGTTGATTGAAGCTGACCAAATGAATAAATAATACTGCATTCAGGAATCTCAGGGTCTATTTCTATCTGTAATTAGAGCAGTTTGCAAATGGTTATTGGCTCTTCTGTCTAGCAGTTTGCGTGTGAAGGGTGCTTACAGAGCCTTGGGGAAAAGGTCCTTGAAAGGGTGTAACTGCAGAGGGGCTGGCAGGAGCGAAGGGTAAGCATTTCCTGCTTTTCTCCTTGACAGCAAAATCATTTTGGTGTCCCATGCAAGGCTTGAGGAATGGTGCAGCTCCAATGGCAGAGTGGCCCTGCAGCACCACTTCTGATGCATAGTGTCATTTGGAACACAAGAACAGTTCAGTTCCACATGCTCAAACTCCCTCTGGAACAGGAGGATAAGCTGTTACTTTGTTCTTACCGTCCTCTTTGTAGCAGTTCCCAATGAGCTGGTCCTGTTGTCAGATTAAAAGCCCCTGGATATATCAGCAGCTGGCAACCTTTGTTAAGATAAAATTAGAACCCAACCATCATTAAGGGGAAGATGGTTTACCCTAGAGTGGCCTTTCACATTGAGACTCAAGGCGAGGTCTCTTTCAGTACTTCCCGACCTCTGCCCAAAATGGAACCAAACAGAGCCTGTCCATGCATGACACAGGTCATTACTGACATCAGCAAAGCCCTGTGAAGCATTACCAAGTGTGGGGATACACCCATCTCCATCACTCCATCAGCAAATGCGTATCAGGAAATGATTGTTACTTTACTCAAGAAGAACAGACACTCATTTGAATAACAAAGTCTTGGCCACAAGATGCATTTTGTGTTACTGGGCAAGGATCAGAGGGCCTGATCACACCGACTGCCCAGTACGTACCACCCTGAAACGGCCCTGCATAGTTCAGGCCTCAGGGCTAACCATGCTCCATTAGGTGACCCAGACTCACCTTTCTGTCCATAGATTTGAGCCATCTCAGCAAATCTGATATCATAGCAGATGCCCAGGCCCACTTTACAGTATGCTGTTCTCAAAACACAAGAGACAACAATCACAACGCTATCACAAGTACACAAAAGCAATCACAAGACTCGCTGTAACCATCCTGCCAGCTGTTCTTTTATATGTCTCACAGTAACAAGAGGAGCTATATTTAAATGTGTATCCTTATCTGTAATAAGCATTGGCTGTTTGTGGGGGAGAATTCATGTTTCATGATGAGAGGAAGACTGTGAGAAGCAGTCTTATCTACCCTTTAGAAACAGCCATTTCCACAAAATCATGTTATATCAGGTCTTCATGTAATGTATTCATGTCTGATTTGGCTGCAGGTTTTTCAATTATTTTCTTTTCAAGAAAAGAAAGCACTCGCTGCTCTTCATGGACTAAAGAAACTACAGTCATGTACTTTTTTACAGCATGCACATTGCAAGGAGGAAAAAGTGACCATGGGAGATGAGACTCTTTGGAGAGCTCAGTAAACAGGACATGTTAATTTTTGAACACTGGAGGGGGGAGTAGGTGTCTTGCTTTTTTATCTGATGTGGTTGATTCAAGAATGTTGGAATGGGATTTACAGTTAATTGTCTCCATTATTATATCATCCTCACATGAAACAACGTGCCAGTGTAGCTGTTTGCTACATACATTCTTTTCCAAGCCGTGTTTTATAAGAACCACCTTAAAGACGTAACTGCTACAAAAAAATACAGTAAATTCTCTTTAACAAATCAATAGGACCACTATTTATTAAGGGAAGTGCCATGATGTATGCTTCAACCCTTTCTACTCCTCTGTCCTTTTGCAATCACATTGCCTTTTTGAAAGTTTCAGAAGTGACCCACACACTTGGAACAAACTTAAAGTATATTTGCCATGGTTGTCAAATGCCTAATATAAATTTGATAGTCTAAAAATCTATTGCTGGGGAGAAGGAGGGGGAAGAGAACTCCAGAATGACCATAGTGTTATTGTGGTAGAGCTCCTTAAAGAGAAGGCTTGTCTTATACTCACGAGTATCAAACATGGAGAAACTATTCCCTGGACTCAGTGTTTCAGACTCTTTGAACTGTATCTTCCCAGGAATATTAATGTCAAACAAATGAACCTGTAATTACAGTATGATTAATAAAAATTAGTAACAATTTCTCTGCTTGGTATTTGAGCCTATTGAGCATTATTAGGCACGTGTTTTCTAGTTACCGTTATCTAGACTACTCTTTCGTCAGGATCCCAACTAAACATTGCTTAAGATTGTGAGATGTCCTAAAGATGATTTAAAGCAGTTTTCTTCTTTCCAGAAATATACACGTCTAAAGTTATTTGGGGAAAAAAAAAAAAAGACTGGCCATTTTAAACAACACATATAATCCCTATGACCCAAGTGATGCACATATCAAATGTTTATATTGCTTACCAAACAGAATGCCCTGTCCCTTCTCTCCTTCTGCAGTAATAGAGAGTAGTTAAAAACAGCTAAAAATATAACAATTAATTTGTAGTATGGCTCTATATCTTCTTCATGGAAAGAATCCCTGAAAAATAGCTAGGTATCTTGACCTAATGAGTAATTTTGCAAAAGAAAGGATACATATAAAATGTCTTGAGTTTGTCAGGATGATTTGAAAGCATGTTAAAGTAGGTGATGTTTTCCTCTCTGAGTCCCATTCTTGCAAAACTTCTCCAGAAAATACCTTCACCAAGTCATAAAGTTCCCATGACTTCAGCTATGCGGATGCCTCTTAGCCCCTGCAGACAGTCTTTATCCCTCCCTTGCAATGGAAGATTCTGTTCCTGACCACAGCCTCCTAATAATACAGCTGTTTCTATATTATTATTCATTCATATTTACACAGTACAAGCCTGCACTCATTCTACAAACAACTACCAGGCTTGCAGACTGGTGTAGTATGATAAATGGAAGGCAACGTAGTACTTCGAAAGTGATCTAATAGTGTAGCTAAGTGTAGAATCAGTTATCAGAATAAATGAATACCTGCACCCCAGAGGTATTTTGCACCACCTCATTTGTTCCAAGTAACCTTGCATTCTCTTTGTTTTTCCTTGAAAGAAGCAAGCTGTTGGTCACCTAAGGAATGATACCTGTATGCACAGTCAGATTATCAGAAACTACACTCTACAGTTATGAATAGGAGGTAGTTTCTCAGAAGGCACAAAGCAATGTCCAGGTGGAAGACGACAGTAAGCAAGCATCTATCACAAACAGCAGACACAGCTTAACTATGGAACTTGGACTACGGTTGTCTGCACTAATCATATATATAGCACACAAAGTATGTAAAGAACAGTATTTATAGCAACAGAAGGACTAAATCCATTGGGAACCTGAGGGAAAATCCTGATACCACTTATGTGGCACTATGTTTTAGACCTAGACCAAGGTACACAGATGAGTTGGATCAGGATTTACTCTTTACCACAGTTTTCCCAGCATCTGGGAAAAGCCAATTATGCCTTCTTTTGTCATCCTTATCCAGAACAAATTTATGACCACCTTTGGGAGGGGTGTTTACATGGACCAAATAAAAATTACATGCAATTTTACTGACAGTACACAGCTTATTATTAATGCAAGATTCTACTAATTCACATCACCTTTAGGCACAGATGAAATAATTTGTGCAACACTGCTGAGAAACCTTTGAATAACAATATTCAGCCATCTTACCTTCCTATGCTTTGCCAACATAGCACCATCAGGCCCAAAGACAGTACAGGTATTATACAGCTTTCCACCATCCTCTTCTGGAATGGATCCTTTGTAAAGGCGAGAACAAGGATTTCCTCCACTGTATTATATGGAATTTTGATCCAATGGCACTAATAGACATTGCCCATTTTTCCCTCAATGAGATGGTCACTAAGAGTAAACTACCTCCGACAAGATATATGCTGCACTCCTTTGCAACTTCTGAGAGCTTTTGTGTCGATTCCCCAGGGATCTTCTCTGCATACTCCTTAAAGTATTGGGTTCCATATGGAGAATTAAAACATTCCTAGAATTAGAAAAAAAAAAAAAAAAGAATTTAAGATCTCCAGTAACACCACTGCAAGAAGACGTACTTGACCTTTCAAACTCCTCTCTATCAATGTTCTCATACAATCTTTAGTTACAGGAGTTTAGTTTACAGGAGCTCAATAAGCAAATCAGAAAATATCAGGAGGCCAGAGAGACCTCAACAATTAGAGAAAATGCAGTGGGTGGGGTTGGTGTGAACACGTGCCAAACAGAACATGAGCTAGGAATATCATGCAAGCTGCAAGTAACAAGGCTAGCACATTTAACAGTATAGACTTAGCAAGATCACAAGAGATGTTCTCATCAGAACAATGAGCAAGTTCCACCTAGCTCATTTGACAAGTTACAAGCTAAATAGATCCTCTCAAAACTGTGAAATGCTCATGCTCGTCCACAGCCCATGATTTCTTCATTTTTAAAAGGACCTTTGCAAAAGCATGCCTTTCTCAAAATTACTTATTCTTTTGCTAAAACAATCCTTTAAACACCATTTCCTCACAACTGAACAGTGTCTTCTGTCCTAGGCTCTAGTTAAAGATTTGCTACCCCTCAGAACCAGGCATGTAATCTTTAGACAATAAGATTAACAGAGCAGTTTAGATGCCTAAACTAGGTCGCTAGCAGTGTTTGAGATGCCTAAGATATCCAGAACTTTTACTCTGCATTATATTTGCCAGCTCTGTGAGGATGTGAGACACCCGCCCCAACACTTTTTTGTCCCCTAAAGGAGTACAGCTGAAGGCCACAGATAGGCTATCAAACCGTACTAGCACCCACTTTCCGGCAAGTGATTCCCAGCCCAAGCATCTGCCTTGATTGTTACCTTTGCTCACTGGAAGTTGTAAAAAGACACCCCCCACCCCCCACC